ATACTATAGAAAATACTTTGCTAATAATAAGAGATTACAAATACTAAAATCATACATTTTGTTAACTAATGTTATTGACAAAGAAATAATTTAAAAAATGATCGAAAAAGAAGATTTGAATAATAACCATAGAGGTTTAAATGAAAACCTTTTAGAAATAAAAAAAACTATACTATTATCCGAATCTACAGAAAGAGATCCAAAAATATATAAATAATTGCAAAATTTTCAACCTTGCTAAATACGATCGTGATCCTGTTAAATACAATTTAAACATCACTGATACACCAACAAAACATGACGAAATGATTCATATCGACATCTCGTATCCACAAAGAAATTTTATGTATCTTAGTGGTATTGACAAACTAACTGAATGCGCTACCGTACGCTATTTCGTGGACATCATTGTTAAAAACATTAAAAGAAATGATATAACATCTAGGAAAGCCAATTGGACCGCAGATAATGAATTTGACATAGGAACTATTAAACAATTTCTAGCAGATAGAGAAATACAATTACCCTCTATAAAAAATATAAAAAATCTGGTAACTCAGACGTTGAAACTAGAGCTGCAAAACTATCGATAATTGGACCATTCGATGTTTTCGATAGTTTTGGGCCTCACCATTCGATAGTATCGATACTATCGGTAAGAGATGCATAATCTTAAAAGACAAATTATGAGATACTTACTACGGCACTAATTATATTGAACATGGTAATATTAGAAGAAAAAATATGAAGGCTAGCCTTATGCGCTATTTTAGTGTGATTTATTAAAAATGACAAAGTTAGTTAATTTAAACAACTAAAACAATTCATTTAATTTCATTAGAAAGCCAAAAATGTAAAAAAGCATAAATACATCTGCAAAAACATAAATAGGGACGAGACATTTTAACAAGTTTTACCTAATCTTGTTTTGTTTATTTAATGTTTATTATTTTTTTTTTTTTTAAGTATAGTTCGCTGTCCAACAAAAACCATGCAAGTCCATATTTCAAACGTTTTAATAAAAATTGGAAAATTCGAGCAAGTTGCTTTAAAATGTGGAGTTTTTAACTATAGTCACTTGAAAAAATTTGAGTATGCACTTTTGTAGTCCGTTAAATTTTAGTATAAAGTGGAAATTTTGGAGTACCCAGGGCTTACCGTTAATTTTTGCAAATTTTTTTGTTGAAGATGTTGCTTATTTGCTTCATATACAAAAATTGTCTAGCATAGTTTGTATATACCTGCATACACGATCGCACAAATAATTATGAATTCTTTTAGTAGGAATTATAGCTCGCATCCAATAATGGAATGGATAGTATCGCGATAGTGACCACCGATAGTGGTGACAAACTGAAACTATCGATAGTTTTGCAGCTCTAGTTGAACGGCTACATCTAACATTAAATGAACAAATAAGACTTTTCAATTCCTGTCAAGAGAATTTAACATTAACACCAAAGTATTCAAAGCAATAGTCCACTACAATAACACAGTCCATACAAGTACAAAAATCAAACCAATAGATTTTTTATATAATAGATAGATTTTTTATATAATATATATATATAGCAATGAAGAACTAATAAAATGATCAGAATTGTTAAAGTTTAACAAACAAAAACCACATCAAAAGGAAAATAATGTTGACAAGACTGACTTCACAAATGATTATGTAAAAAACTTTAAAATTGGCAAGTCAAACCCATAATATATACTAATTGAAAACTACAAACAAGAAGGAAATTATTTATTGTCAAATAATAATCCCTCGAAGAAAGTTTGCAAATATCAATCAAAAAGAAAATATAAATATCAAAAGGGCAGAGATTAAAATTTAATATGATCCTTGCTTGTTCATTCAACAATTATTGTTGAAACTTGCGGTGGGGGAGTCATTTACATGTGTATAATCATATACATATATACACACTCTGTAACAACATACATTTGTACATATCGTCTGAGCACGACTCTCTCCACCATGGAGTTGCCCAATCGGAGCTCGTGCGATAAAACAAGAATGACCTCAAAAGAGTCAGTATTGGATTGAACGTAAAAGCGAACACAATGCGAATAAGGATTTATTGAAACTAAAGTTATAGTGTTGTTTAATTAAAAATAACCAATTATTTTGTATTAAGTTGCATCAAGAGCGTGCAACATAACATGAGTTACCATTTGGTACCCTTTATTTTTAATAACAATCGATGTAAATAAGCTGGTTTGAAGTAAATAATTAAATCAAATTGGTTTTTGTTTTAAAATACCACTATGCACTATCATCCACACCTTTTTGTAGAGTTTCACTACCATTTAGGAAGTGTGATTGAATTCGTCCCCTTTTTCTCCTGCTTCCAAAAACCATCCCTGTGAGTGGGGGTGTCAAATTTTAGAAAAAAGCTACTTACAAAACCTTTAATAATTTAATCATACTTTGTTTCAAATATTGATCATATTTAATTCCACATAATTTTAGAATATTCCGAGTGATGTTACCTAATTAGTTATCTCCAAAATCCCTGAAACTTGGTTACAATAAAGCCAATGTTTTATTGACGAGATCGGGTGCTTTACAGCCTTATTATTTATGTCGAATGATATGCACACGAACAATTCGTCTAAAGACGAGAAGAGAGCTTGCAATTTTGTAGCTCTGTCGTTTATCTGCGTCTTTCTTTACTTCGATTTCGCTGCAATCGTCTTGGTTACGTTTAAACCGATTAGGATGATGCTGCCGAACTCCTTTTTAAAGCTTTCATCTGTAGACGAATCATTCGTGCGGCTTATTATCTATATCGAACGTTTCGCCTGTTAGATGTTTCGTTTGCGAGTTGGTACTTTGTAAGTCGAAATCAACTGGCAGCATGGCATTAGGGATGGGTAGTGGGGGGTTGAAATTCGATTTTTTTCCGAATTTCGAACATTGCACAACCATTCGATTATTCGATTCGAAATTCGGTGGTGCAAATTCGATTTAATTCGATTTTTTTCGAATTTCGCAAAATTTTTTTTAAGGGAAACTTCTAAATCGAGTTCGGAGATGTTTGCGTTAAATATTTAACATCAAGTCATAAAGCTGGTATTTAAAAAAATTAGGAGTCGAATTAAGTTCTAAGAAAAGGGTTGCCACAGGTTAGAAAATCAAATTCAAATAATCGCTTCCGCAGATGTTTGCGTTAAATATTTAACATCAAGTCATAAAGCTGGTATTTAAAAAAATTAGGAGTCGAATTAAGTTCTAAGAAAAGGGTTGCCACAGGTTAGAAAATCAAATTCAAATAATCGCTTCCGCAGATGTTTGCGTTAAATATTTAACATCAAGTCATAAAGCTGGTATTTAAAAAAATTAGGAGTCGAATTAAGTTCTAAGAAAAGGGTTGCCACAGGTTAGAAAATCAAATTCAAATAATCGCTTCCGCAGATGTTTGCGTTAAATATTTAACACCAAGTCATAAAATCTGTATCGTTCGTCCGATTTTCAAAAAGGGGGTAGGTGTCAAATGAAATGTAGATGTGTAACATGGTTTTAGTTTTGTGCCATATGTAAGAAAATCAAAATCAAATTATTTAATAAGTTAAATAAATTACTCCAATATGGGTATCTATCGAAATGGTTTTGAATAAACTTTTTTTTTTTAATTACATTTGGGAGGGTTCCCACCTGTTTGATAAGTCGAATTTATTTAAAGAAGTGTTGTACTTAAAATACTATGCAACAATTAAAATATGTTTGATGTGCTTGAAGGGAGTGGCCACCTGTTTAAAAAGTTAATCTAAAATTACACTGTACGACAGCCGAAACCAGCCCGTACTTTGTTAACATTTTCTGAATGTCTACCCATCCAGTAGTAAAATCCTCGATGGATTTGCAAAAGTTAGCTCGTATTTTTATTTTATGGCCTACTAAGGTTTTCATATCTCGGCCTAAGTAGTTTTCAAAAAAGTCGAAAAAATAGTTAAAATAAATGTCTGAGCGAAATTAAAGGTTAAGACATATATATTAAAATTTCTTGGGAAATATTTTCGTAGAACATTTTGACCCATTATCTCCCGCCTAAAACGATCATATTTAACCCTTACTTCAAGAAATCTCGCAAAAAGCAAATTTAGGAGATCGTTTATGGATTGATATATTCTAAAAAATTATTCTCCGGAAAATTTTACTAGGGGTCTTCTCAGGCAAAAGCTTCATGCTACTAACGTAAAAGCCTCTAAAAATTTAAAATAAAAAATCAACAAAGAAACTAGTTTTTTTATAAAAAAAAATTAAAATTTAGTTTGGAATAACAGTTCCTACTTGGCACTGATTTTTTGTTTTATGCATCAGATCGAAAAACATGTATTTTTTCCTTGAATCCCTAAGACAAATGGAGTGCCACATACAGTGATGGCAAATTTAGTCAGAAAGAAAAAAATTTAAGAGTTGATTTTTTGGAAATAAAGATGAAATTCGATTTTTTCTGGAAAAATTCGATTTTATCCGAATTTTAGCACCACAAAGTTCGATTTCAAAAATTCGCTATTTTGTAGCTAAAATTCGATTAAAATTCGAATATCGAAGCTTCGAATATCGAATTTACCCATCCTTACACGGCCATCCTATTGTAAATAAAGTTCTTAAATCATAAGCCAGCTTAAACGTAATCAACGTAAAGACAAGACGAAGACGAACGATAGCGTTTCAAAGTTTAAAGCAGAGACGACATCGTCTGCACATGAATCGAGGTAAATAATAAGGCTGTAAGAAAAAAATAATTTTACTGTAAGGATTGACAAAAAAATAACAGTAGCATTATTTACATACACGTAGAAATTTGGAATAATATATGTATATATAATATATTAAGCTTACTAAACATTGCGGCTATTTGGCTGTAGTATTTGTGGAGATCTACGATTTTTACTAACCACAATAAATCTAAATTTTTGACTTTAAAATAACTACAGTCAGTTTGATTAACAAAACGCGTTTATGTTGTTTATATTTTTCCAAACAGCTTCAAAGGTTCACGTGATCAAGGGCTTAATACACGCAAACTTAAGTAAGTACATTCATTATAAGTATGTAAAGCCATATCGCGTCATTATTACTAGAGGTACGAACTGAAAGGAAAGATATTTTTCTCCACTGGAGCTTTTGTAAAAATTACGACTTTGAATACAGTACACGGTGGGCTTGGGTCAGGTTTAACCCAAAAGTCCTTGCCCGTCAAATTTTTCTCCAAATTCTCATTCTGTCATCATAACCAAATGACTTGAGTTAAAAATGAAAATCTTCTATGGAAGGATTCGAAAGATATCTCGATTATCCTTAATTTTTCGTAAGATAACTTTTCAAACTAAGTATAAAATCATCCTACAGCAAAAATTTTTGAAATAAAATCTTCGTCTATCCATCGCAAATAATATTCATTTAATTTTAGTGCAAAAGTTATTTGCTTGAGCTCTAAAATTTGCAAAAACCGCTAAACCCCATGGTTTTTACTAGTTTTTACGATGAGTCACCATACTTTTTATCCTCACTGTAGTATTTATTATATTCTTTTTAAAGCTTGTGAAAAGCCTCGCAAAGTAGTATTTAAACTTGTGTACGTCAGAAGATATGGCAGTTAGAACTTTACAAAATGAGGAACCAAAATGTTTTCAATGTGATATTTGCTTAATAACTTTTTTGGTCTGCAAAAAATCGCAAAAAGTGTGGCAATATTTTTTGAACAGAACTTAATTTCCAACACACTGACGCAAGTTTCATCTTATTCCCATGGTAGAAGCCGGAGATATAGCGAAGTGAACATGGAGGTTTCGGCTCACAGCTCGGTTGGTCCAGGGGTAATATTTTTAAACCTCTAAACGATGTACCGTTACCCGTTGAAGAGGGCGGAGGTAAATAAGCTCGAAACTATGTATTTGTGACAAGCATTATCCACATAAAATGAAAACTACTACAGTTTCATTTTATAAAATTTTTGTTTATAGAAAAATGCATAAGATAGTTCAGGTACGGTTCGGTTTGAAATATGCACTTTTTTTTGTAAATTTGGAGGTGGATTTTGCGCAAAAATACTGTGGACTGATGAGGCTATTTTTTCTAGCGCGGCCGAAGACCACCAACGCGGAAAGGAGTTTAGTGCAAAAATAGTGTTGATGGCCTAACACAAGTTTAATTTTTCTTTGCGAAAATGCTAATTTTACCCATGTTGAAATGGGCGTGTAGAAGGGGCAGGGAGGCAAAATATGACTTTTCTTAAAGTTGATACTGTGCTCTTTCTAATTAGTTTTAGATGACGTACCCCTTCCCCCTCCGTCCCCACCAAAAAATCATTATACAAATAACCGAAAATTTCCCACGCACAATATTAAATCCTCTGATTAATTGTTTGATTGTTATCAATGTGGCAAGGTACATAATTGTGTACAATTTAGATTTGTTCCCCAAGCTACTCGTATTGGCCAGCGACACTTCTTCACTGCACACTTTTGGTGCACTTTAATCGCATATATTTTTCACGCGAGACTAACCGAAACCTCAGATTTGAAAGCGGAAAAATGAATACGTGCATATGTACCCCAGTAAGATAATTATATGTGCAAAATGTTTTTCCTCATTTCAGCTCTATTAAAGAAGAGTAAAACTTTTTGCTGTATACGATAATAATAGCCTTTAGTTTATCAGTAGTTTCATATGTTAATTTGATGTTCCTTTACAACTTTAATCACCATTAACATACAATAGTTAATATTCAATAGTAAATAATTATTTGTGCAAAATCAAGTATTCAGTTCCGCCTGTTCCTGTGTCAAAAATTTTCAACAGAAAACTACAATGACTGTGTGGTAAAAACTTAAACATATAGAAGCTATTTTCATAATAAAAACCGTTTTATTATTGACATTGAACTATCTGAAGAACAGCCCGGACATATATCAGGAATGAAGGGGCATGAAATCTAGCTAAACAACTGCTGAAGTAATCGGACAGCAGAATATAAGAAGATCTTCATTTAAACCTCCCGACGACTATAGAAATAATAAGCTTGGTGCCGTATATAAGCCCCAAAAGATTGGTGCAAATGACATATTCAATAGCTACTAGGAATAGCATGATTTACCGTAAAAATTTAAATGTATTTGAATCTCTCTGTCTTAAGTAAAAGCTCACAATAAATATTATTATTATTATTATTTATTAAGCAAAGTATACAAAATACAAAACTTAATGTAGAAAAAAGAGTACAAGCTGCTAAGGCCATCGACTCACTGTTTGAAATATTTTCACTTGAGAAAATTCAATATAGCAGTGTAAAACACTAAATTGCGTAAATTGCAGTCTTTATGAAATTATTTATAGTAGATATATTACAATGAGATATAGTTTTTAAAATATTTGACGGGTTCACAGAACTAAAATGTTTTAGCCTGAAACTCTCTAAAATTAAACAGTCCTTGAGGAAGTGGTCCACTGATGCAACTCTGGAGCAAAACGGACAGGAAGCTGGAGATCCTCCGGTGAATAAGTGTCTGTGCTTGATGTCGGTATTTCCAATCCTTAAGCGTGTAAAAATTGTTGATTGGTGACGAGTAATATTGCTGGGATATATTACTCTGCTGCGATCTGGGTTGAGACTTGCATATCTGTGAACGAAACTACGCCACTCTGCACCCCGTTTCGCATGTATATGGTGTTGAATATGCTTTCTTAAGCCTTTGGGATCTAGGGACATAAATTGAAATGTAGGCGCATCTTCAAAATAACGAGCGGTTCGGTCAGCAAATTCATTCCCAATTATACCAGTATGGCCAGGAACCCAGAGTAATTTGATTTTGTTTTTATATTTTACACACAGGTCACGGATTTTTGAAACTAGTGGGGTAAAATTGTATATGTTTTAAACCGGAGTAACTGTCCGAGCAAATGACAAATTTCCCTTGGTTTTGTAAAGCGAATTCCATAGCTTTGTAAATTGCAAATACCTCAGCTGTAAACACCGATGAGTAAGTTGGTAGAACGCCACCGGATATAGTTGTACCATCTTGAGTAACGACTGCAAATGATGTATTCATTCGTTTGGAGCCATCCGTATATATTGCAGAATAATTAAGGGACGTCAATTCGTTCATTAGTTCCAAAAATTTTTGCTGATGGACCAGAGGACTGGTTTCTGATTTTTTCAAATCGTGTAGAGAAGTATTAATGGAGTTCTCATTCAGCACCCATACGGGTTGATTGTTGATTAAAGAACGCTTTTTAGGAGGGCAAATGCCAAGACTCCTTGCGTAAACGACACAACGACGAAGAGTAGAGTGAAGTTTAAAGGACCGTCTGTTACGAAAAACTGCTACCAAATTTTTAAAAATTTCACCGTTAGACGAACTAAACAGTTTAGGGATAAGCTGCATCGTAGATTCAATAATTCTTTCTTTTATTGAAGGCAATCCACTTTCAGCAAGGATGATGAAGATGTTGGAAACGCATTAATGCTACGGCGAACTGCAGCATGATATGGAGTTTCTAGCTGTTTAATATTAGTGTTAGCACACCATCCAAAAATGGGCTCTTGACAATAGGTTTTTTCTTAAATTACAACATTGGTGCCGAAAATTAAATCTCTGGTCGAAATAAACACCCATAATCTTTAAATTATTGACTATCTATAATATTATTTTCAAAATTTAATTGAGGAAAAATACAATTTTTCTTTTTGCAAATATGTAGTATTTTGCATTTAGGGATAAATAATAATGACCCAGACTGTAGTGCCCATTTTTTAAACTCGTTAAGAGCTTTACAAAAAGTAGTATTTACAAGTAGGGGATCTTTAATATTAGTATAAATTATGGCATCGTCAGCGTACATAGTTAACTTAATATTTTTTATATTCATACATATCTCGTTTAACTTATCAAATGCTACTATAAATAAAACAACCGAAAGGGGTGACCCCTGTGGAATGCCATTGTAAAGGCAATACGATTCAGAAAAATTGTTATTTACACGAACGCGAAACCGGCGATTTTTCATAAAAGCCTTTACAAATGTAAAGGCTTTTTGACCAATCTTCCAAGCCGAAAGCTGACTCAACACGGCATGTATTCCCACACGATCAAAACCCTTCTCAAAATCAGTTGCTAGAATACTGACGTGGTTCTTTGTACTAAGGGAGTCAGAAACGTAGTGTTGAAGTTGTATAAGTGAGTCCATAGTACTATGATTACGTTTAAAAGCTGTTTGATTATGGCTAATAAAGCCGTTTTTCGTAATGAACCACATTATCCTCACCGCTAGGATTTTTTCTAATATTTTACTCATACAACATAGCAGAGATATTGGCCTATAAGAAGTTGTGTGGTAAGCCGATTTTTTCGGCTTAACTATTGGAATTACAGTGGCTAAGCTCCAGACGTGTGGGAACAAATGCTTGTTGTACATATTATTGTATAGATTTAGCAGTCTTAGTTTGGCCACAGCAGGTAAATTGGACAGCATTGGATAGGAGATCCTATCAGACCCTGGCGTTTTACCTTTAGCATGACGCAGAGCAAATTCAACCTCAGAAAGAGAAAAATCTTGATCTAAGTATTTAGCAGATGAAGAAAGGTTTGAAGGAGTATATTCTTTAGAAAGCCAATAATTTTTGTCTCTTATATATATTTATCAGAAGAATTGTCATCCTTAGAATAATTAGACCAAAATTGTGAAAGGAATCTGCGATGTTAAAAGAATCTGTAACGACATCGTTATTGGATATGATAGCTCTAATAGTATTTTGTTGTTTTGACCATATCTTTTTTGGCGTTGACAATGGGGAAATTTGAGATGTAAAAATTTCAAAGCTTAGTTTTTTAGACTCTCTTACAGCTTTTTTGAAAATTACATTTGATTTTTTATAATATAAGTGATTTAAGTCAGACATGCACCGTTTGTAAACCTTCTAAGATTCAACCTTTTGGTTACGGAGATTTTGTAGATTTTTAGTCCACCAAACAGGAAAAGCTCTAGAAAATCTTCGTTTTGTTTGAGGGATAAATTTATTGGCCGCAGAAC